GAATAGTGTACCCCAAACTCAAGCCCACCTGGACATCACAATGAGATTTTATGTGGAAACCAGGTCTTTGCATATGTGATCAAGTTAAAAGGAGTTTGGGCTGGTTGGCTACAAGCCAAGGAACGGCATGGATTGCTGGCCGCTGACACCAGAGCCTGGGAGAGAGGTGTGGGACTGATTTTCCCCCCAGAGTACTTGGAAGGAACCAGCCCCGAAGACCCTGGATTTTTTTTATTGCTATTATTGATTTTAGAGAGAGAAAGCAGGGGGGAGAGAGGAAGATTGATTTGCTGCCCCACTTATTCATTCATTCCTTGTATGTGCCCTGACCGGGGATCAAACCCGCAAACTTGGGGGTATCGGGACGATGCTCTAACCAACTGAGCTACCTGGCCAGGGCCCGAAGAGACCCTGGGTTTTAGACTTTTGGCCTCCAGACTGTGAGAGAATCCCTCTCTGTTGTTTTCAGCCACACTGTGGAGGGTTGGTTTCCTGAGGTTGGTGGCCTCAGGACATTTGTGCTGCACCACAGGGCAGAGGGGCTGGGCCACCCAGGAGGATGGGAGGCTGGCAGGGGGCAGGCCCTCTGGGGTCCTGCTGGCGGATGTAATGCATTGGGGAGGTTCTGCGAGGATGCCCTCCAGGCAGGTTCCACAAGGCTGGGGGGGTGGGGGGTGTACCAAGCCCCCTGCCCCCAAAGGAAAGTGTGGGAGCCAAAAAGGAACCGGAGAAGGGAGGTGACATCTCAGCCTGGATCGTGGTGACGAAGCCTGGGAGGGAGGAACAGGGGTTCAGCTGCAGCTCCAGGATGGTGTGAGGTGGCAGGAGAGGGCTGAGCAGGGGCTGCAGGGGCCCCACCTGCATGAACCTCCACCTGGGCCCCGGCTGGTGGTCCCAGCCTTCCTCCCTTGGCCTTCTCAGGTGCTGCTTCTGGCCAGGAGCCCGGTTCGCCCAGGGCGCAGCACAAGCAGGATGCCCTCTGGAGAAGGCTACTCCAGAAGTCAAAATAGCATGAAATTTAATTTTCCGCCTATTTGACAAGGCTTGGTTGGGGCCCCAATCAGCAGCAGAGATAAGGGTCCTTGGCCGGGTGTGAGCCAGCTGGGCGCGCAGCAAACACTCTACGGTCCCCAGGCAGGCCCTGGCTCCCCCTTGCTGGGCCCTGGTTGCCGGGCGCTAAAGCAAACGGATTCTATTTGCCCAGTCTGCGATGACAATGCAGTCCCCAAATATTTGCCAGCTTGGCCGGCAGCAGAGCCCGGCTATAAATGCTTGAGCCCAGGTGGAGGTGGGCCTGCCCAGCAGAGCTGCAGGCCTCACAGGTAAGAGCAGGGCTGGGCAACAGGGTGGGAGAGTACTGGCTGTGGGGTCTGGCCTCCTCTCCCTGGAAGGCTGTGGGCCCCTCTAACCAGGTGGTCTTTGGGGACCACCCACCACTGGGAGGGGTCACCAGCAGAGCTGGGCAGGGCCAGGCCATCTAGGCCGGAGGCATGGGCCAGGGAAGAAGGGCACTTCTCTTAGTTCCCCATGAGCAGCCACCTCCACAGCCGGGGCCACTAGATGCCCCTGCAGGGAAGAGGGGCCCGGCACTATAAACAGGATTGGGGGTACAGCATGGCCAGCAGGCTGCAGGGAGAAGAGGCCTGTGCTTCCCAGGGCCGCCTGTCTCTGAGTGATGCCTGTGGAGACTCACTGGCCCCCTGGGAGGTGTTTTCTGACAAGCTAGGAGCCCCCTCTCCTCCTCTCCGCATCGCCTCCCCTTTTACGCTTCCTCCTTTCCCAGGTTCACTCATCAGCTTCCCAAAAGCTGAGGGGCATGCCCTACACGCCCCTGGGTAGGAGGCGGCTTTGGCATTCAGAA